GTGAACCTCTGCAAGAACTGCAAATGGAGGGCCACTTGACTGAGGACTGTAAGGAGTCAAAGATTTGCAACCTCTGTGGGGAAGCAGGCTGCCTATACAGGGCCTGTCCAAAATGGCGGGCAGGAGGGTTGGGAGCGGAGCACTACATCGGATCAGATGGCTGGAAGTGGCAATGTGAGCCATGGAGGTCAGTTAGATGCCACCTCCCAGCAGAAAAACTGAAATGAGCGTCAACCAGAAGGAAGGACAGGCCGGAGAGGAGGAAAAGGTAGCCAGCGGCAAGGCACAAGAACTGACCCAACTTCCTCCTGAACAGACAGAGTCCACGGAAAAGGAGGAAATGAAGGAGGCAGGGGTGTGGATACCAGTGAGAAACACCAGATAAGAAAAATCCATCAGGCCCACAGCAAAACGGAAAGAGGCAGCTGCACAATGGCTACACCAGCAGCTCCTCTGACGACGAAGACACACAGACGGATGGCCATCAACAAACAGAGCACGAAGGGGAAGAAAGAGAGGAGCACCCCCGACCCAGAAACGCCGGGTGCAGTGAAGCCCAACCTCCGGTCATCGGGAGCCATGGGGTACCCACCGCACCGTAGCTTTGGGCAACTGGGAACAGCAACACTCTGACAACCCCTGAATTGGACTCCGAACTGGGCCCTGCTGGCTTCATTCCCACCCAGACGTCACCGAAGCAGGGCGTTCTCCCAGGGAGGAACAGAACAGCTACCTCAGCGCAAAGTGTGTCCAACAATTTGTCAACATCACGGGGATGCAGGGAGCCTCCCAGTGACAGCATTATGGGTGAATAGACATTGGGTAATTCTATAAACTATTAAAAATGGGTGTTAAATTTACTAGTATTAACATGCATAGCATCAAGTCTACTATGCGATGTGTTTCTGCGTTAGCTTACTTTGCCAATGTCAAAGTAGAACTCCTATTTCTGCAGGAGTGTGGGATAACACCTCAGCAGCTACAGGAGATGGTCGTGCTTATGAATCCATGGGCTATTGATTTGGTCAGGGAGAAATGCTAACTGTTCCTCCGGCCTGGATATTCTGCAAGGAAGCAACTTCACCATCTGAGGTTGAAGAGGTCCTGAGTGGGTGCCTCCTCAGCAGACGTTGCGTACGGAAACATTCCCCTGAGATTAATTAACATCTACGCCCTGGTGGTAAAGAGCGAGCGGCTGGCCATCTTGCAGCAGCTACCACTGGTGACATCCAGGCCAGTCATTCTGGCCGGAGACCTTCATCCGCATCATCGATGCGAATGGACGATCTGGAGGGGCTGGCAGCAAACTGGACTCCACGTCCAGATACTTCATAGAAACAGTTAAAGTTGCCAAGTTACACAATGTCTGCAGGAGTGCTGAAGACAGAGCACAGTGTCCATAGACTCGTCTGGCCGTGACCAGGTGTATCTGCTCAAGTATAGATCTCATGTTTGTGCCCGGTATTTTCTGCAGGGGTTCGATGTCGACGAGAATCTCCTAGGAGGTGAAGAGCCAGCAAGCCTCGTTCTTTGCCTCAGAGGCCTCCAAAATAATCTTCCAATCCAGGATCTGTACTGTGAAGCAAGACGAGATGTACTCGCATTTCTTCTTCCAGAAGCTGCACAAGGAGAGCTCTGTGCTCAGCAGCCTAATGGAAGAAGATGGTTCAGTAATATCATCTCCGTCTGACATCCTGAGGATCAGCAGATCCTTTTATACCAGACTGTATGACACGAAGCCCACAGACAGAGCGGCCTCCCAGTCGTTCCTGTTGTCTATCACAGAGGTCTTAGTATGTGGGAGAGGCTGGACCAGTCATTATCTCTGGATGAGCTGACCAAGGCCCTCGAGTCCTTGCATGTGAATAAAACTCCTGGAAGTGACAGCTTGCAGGCTGAGTTGTATTTGGCTCTGTGGGACTTGATTGATCTGCTGGAGGTGTATGACAGTATGCTTCTAACAGGTACCGTGTGTAAATCCATGAGGAAAGGTATCATCACCCTTATCTACAAGCAGAACGGGGAGAGAGAGGAAATTAGAAATTGGCAGCCAATATCATTGCTGAATGCAGACTACAAAATCCTATCTTAGGTCATCGCCAGCCATGTCTGCTGTGCAGTGATCTGCCCCAATCAAATCTGTGCTGTACCAGGCAGGACAATCTCTGAGAGTCTCTCACTCCTCAGGGATACAGTTGCCTATGTGCAGACACCTGCCTGATTCTCCTGGACCAGGAGAAGACCTTTGACAGGATATCACACATGTATATGTGGGACATGGTCGCCAAAGTGGGCTTTGGTCAGGGAATGTGCAATTGGATCCAACTGCTGTTCACTAACATCGTTAGCACAGTCTCACTCAATGGGTGGGAATCAGAAAGTTTCCTGATCAGATCCGGAATCAGTCAGGGCTGCCCACTCTCTCCTGCCTTGTTTGTGTGTTGTATAGAGCCCTTTGCTGAGTCCATCAGGAAGGCTGTGAGCCTGATAGGAGTGACAATTCCAGGCAGCAGAGGCCAGCAGGTAAAAGCCTCCCTGTCTATGGATGATGTCACTGTTTTCTGCTCAGATCTACTGTCAGTGTGCAAACTTATGAGCGACTCCGCCCAATTCAAAACGGTCTCGGGAGCAAAGGTAAATCCAGGCAAGAGTTAAGGCCATGTTCTTTGGGAACTGGGCTGACCGCTCCTTTATTCCCTTCATCTGTAGGACAGATTACCTGAAGGTGCTGAGAATGTAGTTCGGAGGGGCCAGGGTGTGCACAAAATCTTGGGAGGAGTGCATCGCCAAATTGAAGCAGAAACTGGTCTTTTGGGAGCACTGCTCCCTCTCCACTGCAGCTAAAAATCTGCTCATCAGATGTGAGGCACTCTGTCTATTTTTGTATGTGGCACAGGTCTGGCCCATTCCCCAAAACTGCTGTTTCAGTCACCTAAGCCATCTTCCATTTCATCTGGAAGCCTGAGATAGACTGGATCTGCAGGGACACCACATGCAAAACTCTGGATAAGGCGAGGAAGAACGTACCCAGTGTTGCCCTCATCCTGATTTGTGCGTGACTGCATAAAGCTGTGTGTAAACCCTTGGTACATAAACACCAAGTGCTGTGGTTCTACCTGTCCCCGGTGTTGTGAAGGATGAGATTGGCCTCGCTGCCGTGGAACGCTCCAAGTAGTTGGACCGTTCCATATCATTCGCCTTTCATCAAGAAATTGCAAAGAAAAACACCTTTGGCCACAAGTCCGTCAGGAATTGGTCAGCATGCAGCATCCTCAAGACCCTGAGGGAAAAGGAGAGGGTGGATCTTGTCACGTAGTTCCCTGAGCAGGCTGTTAAAGTCATTTGGCAGAATGCCTCATCACCAGAACTTTCTAACCAAGCACCAAGACATTGCTTGGCTGGTGATGAGAAGGGCACTACCTGTGAGATTGAGATCCCTTATGTACGTCCAATCTTGCTGCACCACCACACGCTGCTGTTGAAGTGGCTGCGGCAGGGGGTTGTTGAGACAGTCGCACACCACCTCCTGGAAAGTGCCTTTGCAAAAGATGTCCGGAGGAAGATGCAGTGGTTTGTGTCGATGTTCGTCCCAAGTGTCTTGGTGACGTGGGACTCTATGCTGTACAGTATGTTCCCTGGGACATACATTGAGACAAACATCGACTGCGATTGGAGGACCATCAACTTGGTGAAAGACACTCTGCCCAAAACTTGTTGGTCTTCCAGAACCAGGAATTGACCCCAACTGAATATTGCAGACTGACACATTCCAGGGTCCAGGACTATGTGCTGAGGCGCACAGCAAAACTTGGGGCAGCTGCCGCCATGGTGTTGTAGGGGAGGATCACTGTCTGAGGTTTTCCTGTTTGAAGGTAAATGGGGGCCTGTTCAATGATCGGACCTCATTAATGCCTTTAAATATATGTAAATATTAGTACTGTGTATAAGAGAGGTCTTTGGTTTTCTGGATAGAGTCAAAGTCCAATGTTTTGCTTATTTACTTTTATATGCAACTGTACAGAACTGAACTGCTTTGGTGACTATCTCCCACACTTTTTTTTTATGAATAGAGTATATTTTTAAAGTATATTTTTGAAATAAAAATAAATCCAGGCTTGGGCTGACAAGCGGGAACTAATATTCACACTGCTCAAGTGCCAAGCAATGACAGTCACCAGACTCAAAATGCTACCTCTGGTTTCCACCACCATGCCCCCCACCCCGCCTTAGATGCTGCCAGGTCTGCTGAGTTTTGCCAGCAGTTTGTTTTTGGCTAGAAATTCTGCAACAAGTAACATGCTTCCTTTCTCCCTGGTGCATCTCTACCATCTTGGTCAGGAGACAATTAGACGTGTTCTCCACATGACTGAATGAATGCAGCTCCAACCACACAATAAGCTTGACACTATTCAGGACAAAGCTGCACACTTGATTGACATTCCATTCACTCCTTTAACCAACGAAGTACAATGACACCATGTGTATCGTCCACAAAATGCCGTGCAGTAACTCATCAAGGCTGTTCTGACAGCATCTTCCAAACATTTACTCCCATAGAGACAAAGGTGGCACGTGAATTAGTACACCACCACCTGCAAGTTCCTCAAAGTCACACATCGTCCTGACTTGGAACAGTGTTGCCATTCCTTAACTGTTACTGAGTAATAATCTTGAAAATCCCTTTCTGACAGCACTATGGCTGGCCCTGTACCTCAAGAATTGCAGCAGTTCAAGAAGGCAAGTCACCGCTGTCTTCTCCAGAGCAATTAAGAGCCAGCTACATCTACATCCCATGAACAAATTAAAAACACTACCCAACTTGTAAGATATGACATAAACTGATCTTGCGTCAGGCTAAATGCAACTAAGAGAATTTGCAGTATAATTTAGAACAATTTAAATTTTCTTTGTGATGCTGTGCTGTCATGTCATTTTGAATGCAAAATTATTGCAACCACACTGATCTTTAAATAACAATATTTGTAACTTGTCATTTTTAGGTTTCAATGTTGGCAGAATTGCTGGTGGTAGATCAACAGTGCGTGAAATAAACCGTGATGCTTGTCATGTCCCTGGTTTTTATATCCTTCAGTCATTCTTACCGAAACATACCAATGTGCCTGAACTATATTTCTTGTTGATGGCCCTTTTCCTCCAACAGCCAGTTACTGAACTGCCAGAAAGCCTGCAGGTATGTAATCCATATAACTTTGCTTTATTAATTTTTAGAAGTTTGGGCCCCATTTTGTTTCTTTTAAATTCATTGAATGCATTAAAGAGTTTAACTTGTTAACATGGAATAGCATGATTTTTGCCATTCAACCCTGTCCCTCCCGTTGGGGGAGAGTCTCAATTTATGCAATCTTCAGACGTTATTTAGCAAATGTGTTTAATTTAATTAAAGCATTTTTACAAATAATCAAATGGAGTAAGAAATAGCAAATTATTTTCAACCAGTGTAATTGAATGCTTTGTCACTTTGAACTGTGACCTATGTTTAATAATTTGCTGGTTTGTTTCAAAGTCTAGATTTTTTTTGCACCTGATTTATAATACAGCATCAGTTTCATTCTGTTTTATTTCATTGATGTTGGGTGACTTGGATCAGGGGATGTTTGTTCCTTTTCAAGCGACAGGAACACAAATGGCTCACTGTTTTATATTGCTCATATTTAATGTTAACAGTCTGCAGCAATCTGTTTTGCTGTTGGTAATGGGTGCAATCTTGTGGAGGTGATAAGGTCTCAGTTGCTAGGTAGACAGTTGGACAGAGCCCCACGTTGCCTCATTTCAGGAAGGCCCGTTGCAATTTGTGCCATAGCCTAGTAGCCGGACTTCTGGGCTGAAGGACACTATAATGGATGCCCTGTTACTGAGAAACTACCAGTCAATGGTAAAGCAGCAACCTGTCTGTACTGACCAGCATTTTCAGGGTGATGCTGGATGCTGCTGGTGTTGCACCAACTCCAGGCCTCTGTTTAAGGATGGACATGGACACAGACACAGGTGAGTGACAGCAAGGAAGAAAGCAGTACAGCAAGTGAGGAGATGGCTTGGTAAGCATGACCCATTTCTTCGCAATGTCTGATCCTTCAATGAGGCCTCTGGGACCACACAAGAAAACATGTCAGGGTCTACTTGTCATTAAGTGTGGTGAGTTGCACCATCTGCTACTGTGTTAGCATTTTTCTGCTTTGTTTATAGCACTTTGAACATTGAGAATCTAGAAAATTAAAGCAACTTTTTTCTTATAATGAATTTAAATTCATGAGTGACAGCGTACTGCCATCAAAAAGAAAATTAGGTCAATGTCTAATGAAAATTCTGGGCGTTGGAAATGCAAATCTTTGAAACCAGCTTAAGAAAAGTATAATAACTTGAGAATATGCTGTTAAGAGGCCTTTGGCAGTGCCACAGAGTGGAGCAGACTGAGAATTGTGGCAGCATTCAGAAGTCCGTTTTGGAGCTGCATGTGTATTTATGAAATCAAAACTAAAGTTGATTTTTTCCATTTTTGTTAATAATATAGATTGGACATTGTATCAATATCATGTCCTGGCATATCATTCAAGGCTTTGGGCCAGGTGCTGGTAAATGGTTAGGTTGAAGGTCAGGTATTTCTCACACGTCGTTGCAACTCAGTGGGCCAAAGGGCTTCTTCTGCACCTTATGATTCTACGATTTGATCGCATTTAGAAAGTCTGACTTTATTTTAGTACTGATTTCACATGAATAGTGAAGATAAAGCACGTTAGGTTCAGTCAGCTATTGGCGTTTTGGCAAGAAGTATTTGGGCTTGTAAATGAATTTGACGTATTTTCCAAAGAATCTTTTGAAATTCTGAGAAATAATTGAATGAGCACTTCCCCTACAAATTACCATGATGTTCTGCTCTAAGACATGCATTGTTCTTTAGGCTTAGGTACAAATACCTCCAACCATATTTGTGTAATGTCAGGTATTCAAAACACATTCATGCCTGATTTTTCTACACTTTACACCTCAAAAACATGAGATCATCTAGAACTCTACTGACTGTCTTAGCACATAACAAACCCCCATAACCCTGCACTCACTGAGTTACATTGATTCACTGTCAAATAAGGACTTGATTTTAACATTTTCATCCTTGTTTTCAATTACCTCTTCCCTCCCTATCACTGTACTCAACATCAGCCTCACAGCCTCCAGATATTTGTTTTATTTATTTGATTTGATTGTCACGCGTACTCAAGTACAAAAATACAGGAGTGCAGTGAAAAGTGTGTAATCAAACAATGTGCCATCTTAGGTACAAGCACCTCGGTACAGGATCTTAACAAGGTAGAAAGAAAGAACAAAGTTAAAATTTAAATGTTGCATTAATTATAGTATAGTGTAAAACATACGAAATAAAGATATCTGGTTGCTCTAATTCTGGCCTCTTGTCCACCTCCCACCCCCCCCCAATTTTTATTGCATAATTGACCTTTAGTTGTCTGGCCCCCAGACTCTGGAATATTCTGCCAACAATGCATTGCTTCAATTTTTTTCCTTTAAAGCACACATTAAAATTTACCTCTCATCAAGCTCCTTGTCATCTCAGCTAATATCTTCTTATATTGCTCATAATACTTGGCTTTCTAATGTTCTTGTCCATGGTCTTGGGAAATTTAATCATGCTAAATCTGCGATATCAATACAAATTGATATTGTTCCTCCTGTCCCTAGTCTATCCAACTAAAATATGATGAGTCAACATGATTCCGTTGTAAAACAAGATGGATAGGACTTTCGAAATTAAATATATTGATATAAAAAGCAAATTTCTAGGATTACCATTGCCTAATACAGCAAACAATTTCTAGTACTTGAATAATCCATCAGTGCTAAAGTTAACTATTGGTATGAAATCTGTTGGTCTGAATAAAATGATTCTTTCCTCATCTCAGAGGTTAATTTCCTCTCATGCAACTTGAGTAAAATAGCCTGTAAATTATGCATTTACAGCATCCTACTGCATCATTGATACAAGAAACATTGTTTAGAGATGGTAACTGGATATATTTCCATATGCTTTCTTACAGTTTGATTTGGATTCTATCTGGACATTTATCTTTGGTGTTCCTGCTTCTAGTGGAACAGTAGTTGCATCAGTTCACACAGTATGTTCAGAATCTGCTTTTCTATTGTTGGGAATGCTAAGGAGTATGCTCAATCTTGTAAGTATGTACAAATCAAATTGAGCTTATTAATCGCGCAAATTCTTGGATAAAATTAATGATAGTAAAATGTTACTATTCAATGTGATTTTGAAAGCATAGAGCACATTTCCACTTCAATTGGTCTGAAATCTACAAAATCCTATGTAATCTAAACTACATTGAGATGAAAAATCTAGACATGTTTAATAGGGAAAACATATTTAAAGTCAAATTTATGTTAAACATTGAAGTGAAGGACTTGTTTTGTTTTGTCTTGTCCTTAACATGCTGTTTCTTCCTATAGCCCTGGCAGTCTGAAGAGGAAGGTTCTTGGCTTAGAGAGTACCCAGTCACTTTGATGCAGTTTTTTCGTTACTTATATCACAATGTCCCAGATCTAGCTCCTCTTTGGACAAGCCCAGATTTCCTTTGTGCTTTTGCAGCAACAGTCTTTCCCTTTAACATCAGACCCTATTCGGAAATGGTGAGTCTTAAATTTATACTAAGTGATTGAGTCATTTGCACAAAGTTCTGAGAAGTGAATGAAATAATAAAAATTGATAACGTTGTGAACAGTACTTTTTTTTTATTTTTGATTTTACACATTATTAATGTCTGTCTCTGTCAAACTGGTCTTAGTATTTGAGATGCATGGACGAGGGACCTAATTGGCTAAAAAGTCAAATGTGTTAAATATGATTGGAAAAGGTATTTGGATTGATTGAGATGCTAGTTGATAAGTGGCCAAGACTGAGGATACGTTTTAATATCCATTATAAAGATCACACATTTTGATTGTTCTATTCACAAATGAAATGCTTTAATAGCACTGTCCCCACTGCCATTCTGATGAAGGGTCTAGGCCCGAAACGTCAGCCTTTCTGCTCCTATGATGCTGCTTAGCCTGCTGTGTTCATTCAGCTCTGCACCTTGTTGTCTCGGATTCTCCAGCATCTGCAGTTCTTACTATCTGTAATTAGTTGCAAGTTTGTTTTTACTGCTTTGGGCGAACAAAACTCGTACTCAATTTGATCAGTACAAACCTGGTTACAATATCAATATTATGCTTAACACTTTTACACAGCTGTAAAATACACAAGTCTAAAATTTTAACGCCAAGGTACTTTTACTGCTTTCCTCCCTTAGCCTCTGTACCAAACAATCATCATTCTCAGTGATTGCCATCTCTATTTAAGTTTTTTTTTTCTTCTAAATTGACTGCCTTTTTATCCTCCCTAAATTCCTCCTTCCATAAACACCTCAACCCATATTCATAGACTGCTCTGTGATCTTACAGTCTCAGGTTGTTTTGCCAATCCCTTTTATCTGTTGACCAGACTGATTCCTGAGATGACAGGATTGACACGAAGAGTTCAGTTTGAGCAGAAGGTCAGCGAAACAGTGTCTCCTGCCCCAAAAGCCTCGGACGTACGTACCTGTTCCCTCGGTTACTGCTGCAGGTGTCAGATCGGTCTTGAGAGTGGACCCACGGAAAATGACTGGTCCAATGGAGTCCCCAGCCGTGCACTCAGATCCTGTGCGGACCAGCTGGCAGGAGTATTTGCTGATTTCTTTAACCTCTCCTTGCCACAATCTGAAGTCCCCACGAGCTTCAAAAAGACCACCGGATTCCTGGTACCAAAGAAAACACATGCAACATGCCTCAACGGCTACTGCTCAGTGGCTCTGACCTCCATAATTATGAAGTGCTTCGAAGGGTTAGTCATGGCTCATATCAACTCTCGCCTCCCAGCCTGCCTTAGTCCCTTGCAATTTGCCTATCGGCACAACAAGTCCACTGCAGACTCCATCTCCCTACCCTTATACTCGTCCCTGGAACATCTGGGTAATAGGATACCTGTGTCCGATAGCTCCTCCATCAGCACTATAATTCCAACCAAACTAATCTCCAACCTCTGAGACCTAGGCCTCTGCTCTGCCGTCTGCAACTGGATGCTCGACTTCCTGACCTACAGAACGCAATGAGTGAGGATAGGCAACAGCGCCTCCTCCACGACAATCCTCAACACTGGTGTCTCTCTCTCTCTCTTCTCTCTTCTCTCTCCCATCCCCCCTGCCCCAACCCTTCAAGGATGCCCACTAAGCCCCTTACTGTACTCCCTGTACACTTATGACTAGGCAGCCAAATTTCATTCAAACCCCATCAACAAGTTCACTGACACCACCATTTGTAGGCCGGATATCAAACGATGACCTGATAGAATAAAGGGAAGATATAGAGTGCTTGATGGCATAGTGTAAAGATAACAATCTCTCCCTCCGTGTCAGCAAAACTAAAGAGCTGATCATCAACTTCAGGAATGAAGGAGGAGGGCATGCCCTTATCTAAATCAATGGAGCTGACATGGAGATGATCAAGATCAGCAAGTTCCTAAGCATGACGATCACTAACAATCTGTCCTGCACCATCCACATTGATATGATAGTCAAGAAGGTACAACAATGCCTCTTCTTCGTCAGGAGACTAAGAAAATTTGGCATGTCCATAAGGACTGTCACTAATCTTTGCAGATGCACTGTAGAAAGCATTCTATCCAGATGCATCATGGCTTGGTACAGCAACTGCTTTGCTCAGGACCATAAGAAACTACAAAGATTTGTGACCACAACCCAGTCCATCACTCAAGCCAACCTTCCATCCATTGACTGTCTACACTTTTCGCTGCCTTAGAAAGGCAGCCAACATCATTAAAGACTCCTTCCACTCCAGTTATAATCTCTTTCAACCTCTTCTGTCAGCCAGAAGATACAAAAGCTTTAAGCACATGTGCCAATAGGTTCAAAAATAGCTTCTTCCCTGCTGTTATTAGACATCTGAATGGACCTCTCAAATTTCAAATCTAATATTGAACTTGCTTTTTGTGCAGCTTCTTTGAAGCCGTAACTTTATATTCCTCACAGTGTTCGATCACCCTATGATCTTTGTATCGTATGATCTGCCTGTACTGCATGCAAAACATAACTTTTCTCTGTACCTAGGTACATATGACAATAAAGATCAAATTGAGAGAGAGTGGATCTTTTAGGATTATATTCACTAGAGTTTAGAAGAACTGCCATCCTTTGACACATTTTCTGAAAGTGAACCATTTTGTGGCAGAAAAGTATTCCTTCTTGACAGATGGGCACTGCATGTACCTGAAAGGTTTCGTGCTCCACAGCACTAACAAGAAACTTTAGCATGTAGTGTCTGTTATTCTGGCTATACTGGTTTGTCATACATTTCTTTTGAGGTGCCTTAAGGACTGTATAGGTTCTGCTGAACTCCTGTGATCATTCAATCTCCTTTTGGGATTGATCTGTGCTGCTTCACTTAGCATCTGTATGGCTTTCCCCTGACTCAAATTGTTCTTTTGACTGGAATAAATCTGACAGGTTCATTAGCAATTTCAACAACAATGCTATCTTTTCTGATCTCAAACTCATTGTAGTTGCATTTTTCCACTATTTCATTGGAGATCATTGATGAAATCATCTCTGTACTCAACTAGATATTGAGCTTGTATCAGAGATACTAGGAACTGCAGATGCTGGGAAATCTGAGATAACAAGGTGTAGAGCTGGATGAACGCAGCAGGCCAAGCAGCATCAGAGGAGCAGGAAGGCTGACGTTTCGGGCCTAGACCCTTCTTCAGAAATGGGGGAGGGGAAGGGGGTTCTGAAATGAATAGGGAGAGAGGGGGAGGTGAATAGAAGAGGGATAGAGGAGAAGATAGGTGGAGAGGAAACAGACAGGTCAAAGAGGCGGGAACAGCAACTCATATTCCGCTTGGGAACCCTGCAGCCCAATGGTATCAATGTGGATTTCACAAGCTTCAAAATCTCCCCTCCCCCTACCGCATCCCAAAACCAGCCCAGCTCGTCCCCGCCTCCCTAACCTGTTCTTCCTCCCACCTATCCCCACCTCCCACCTCAAGCCGCACCCCCATTTCCTACCTACTAACCTCATCCCGCCCCCTTGACCTGTCCGTCCTCCCTGGACTGACCTATCTCCTCCCTACCTCCCCACCTACACTCACCTTTACTGGCTCCATCCCCGCCTCTTTGACCGGTCTCTTTCCTCTCCAACCAGCTTCTCCTCTATCCATCTTCTGTCCACCTCCCCCTCTCTCCCTATTTATTTCAGAACCCACTTCCCCTCCCCCATTTCTGATGAAGGGTCTAGGCCCGAAACGTCAGCCTTCCTGCTCCTATGATGCTGCTTGGCCTGCTGTGTTCATCCAGCTCTACGCCTTGTTATCTTAGATATTGAGCTTATCTATTAGGTCTTGGTCTGTCAAATATTTTGTTTGACCTGAGATTCAAGTAATCATGAAAGGCTTTTAGTACTCCTTCAAAAGTATTTTCTGTTTCTCCTACACCTTGGCAAGTCATAACATCAGCTTATATTCCCAATTGGAAATAAAAAGTTTTAACTTTGTATGATTCAGTATCTCATTTTCAAGGATTCTGTATCCTAAGAATTATTTTCTTCAAGATGTCTAGGTTTATTTTTCAGTTTAGCCCATCTCTGAAATTGAATCTTCTTGGCAATATTATTCTGATCCAGCATCTTCCCAATTTGATTATTTATTTTCTTCGCTTAATGAGCATTTATTCTGCAGAAATAGAAGATATCATTTTGCAGCTCATATGGCAGGTTCCTCTGGCCTCCTAGCTAAAATGGAGGATTCCTACATTCTTGCACCTAGAATAGGTGATTCCTGACTTTTCACTGGATGAATCCTGTTGTTTGCAACCATGATGAATAATTTGTAATTCTTAATGGCTTTATTGAATGATCATGATGCTAGTAGCTTTCATTAACTACACCTGTTTTCTAAACCGCTCCTTTTATTTGCACTTCTGAAGATAATCTGTTGCTTTAACTTTTTTCCCCAGTAGATTACTGCTGTCTGCAGCTCAAATTATAATCCGGTTTCTTTCATGGATTTTTTTTCCCCTGAATAATTCCTACTCTCTGTAGTTTGACTAACTGCTTCCTACCTTAAACATGATTTTAATGATGGCCTTAAAGTTTTACTACACCACTGTGCTAAATGAGGGCTGATGAGATTTCTTATCTACTACCTTTGTCACTTTAATTCTGGCTTATGACATCCACTGATCTGTGACCTTAGTTTGAATTGCTTTTCTGGCCCTTGATTTCCTTTGCTATAACTTGGCCATATTGAGTATGCCCTCTGAGATGTAAATAATTTCTTAGTTTCACTTTCCATTTGTTGTACAGTGTTGTGTTCTTTATGAAACATTTCCTCTTGTCCACCAGCAGTTTTAACTTTACTTGAGGAGTGTCCAACATCTGTTCACGTTATTACTGAATGACATCTCAGAACTAACTGCCCCTACAAACCACCACTACATAATAAAGTTTGTATTTGCTTTGGAGTAACTAATTCTCTTCCTTCAGGGAGCTCCTAACTCACTACTGCAGAGCATCTTTTCCCAAATCAAAATACTTCTCCTGTTGACTGTAGATAATTCCTTTTTCAATCTTCCTAAGAGGGTTTCTTCTATAATATTTTTAAGTGTTCGTCTCTTCCCCATTGCTCACTGTCCACATGAGCAGGCAACGAAAAGCTGAGTCTGAAGATGCTGAAAATCCTGTGACTTGCACCACTGCCAGCAAGTGTAAAGGTGGCTAAATTGAATCCACGCTGTTTCTCACAATGTTGGATGAACGTTCTTCACTGCTGACCACATTTATGTGTGAGACTGTCTAGATTGTTGCTTACAATGGGTTAAGCTTGTTGCCAACTTCTTTTACGGTAGGGAACTACTGGGCCCAATTGGTCAGTTGTGTTGAAGGAAATCAATTGCTGGTCTAATGAGAATATCTTCTCTTAAACAAGATATACTTTAGTGCATGTTGTATATGGACTGTGCAAGATCCACTTAAAGGATGGACATTGTATATACAATGAGGAGAACCTGAATGGTAGCTCTTAATCCTTCGAGATCACAGGCTGTTCCACCCAAAGGTTCAAACGACAACATCACTCTGAGATAGTGCTTAATGACTCAGGTCATCTACAATAATGTAACCATCCAAATCTGTTCCCATTTACCCAGAACTCCATGTTTGAACCCCTTCAGTCAGGTTTCTGTTGCAGCCACCATATTGAAAAAGTTCTTATCAAAGTCACAATATTGTCATATGTGATTGTGACAAAGTTGAACTTCCTTTTCACTTTTCTCAACCTGTCTACAACCGTTGATATGTTTGACCACACTATCCTCCAGCTGCTTTCCACTGTTAACCAAGTGGATGGAACAACAGTCATCTGGTCTGTTCTTATCTGTTTTTCATAGCAAGGGTTTCACTTGTGATGGCTGTCTTCCAGCTCTCTCAATAATGCCTCTAGTGTCATTGACCTTATACTGGTGCCTTCCTATTTGTCGTATTTGTACTGCTGCTCATCCATTTGAAGGCATGGTGTTAGTTTTAATATGTACGTGGGTGACACCCAACTCTCCTCACCACTACTTATATTGATGATTCTGCTGTTTCTGCATTACTGGACTGCTTAAGCATACGGGATTGGCAGAAATTTCGTCCAGTTAATTATTAAGACTGAAGCTGGGGATTTTGGTTTCTGTTCAAAGCTCCGTGCATTGGCTACTGACTCCATTCCTGTTCCTGACCACAGTCTGGGATTAAACCAGAATATTCACAAATTTGGTGTCATATTTGATCCCAAAATATATTTTAGACCTTGTATTCATGCAGTCATTGAGCTAGTTTCCGCCTCCATAAGAGTGCCCTCCTTCACCCCTATTTAAGCTCATCTGCTGAAATGTACTCCTTGCTGGTCTTCCATATACTCCTCTGCATAAACTTGAGGTTATCTAAAACTTTACCAGCCAGGTCTTAACTACGAGCAAGTCCCATTCACCATACTTCTGTGCTCACTGACCTACGTTGATTCACAATCAAGCAACACAACGGGCAGAATTTAATGTAGGTGATGGGGCTCTTGCCTGTTGACTGTGAAGCAAGAAAAAGGTTTTCACCTTCTCTTTTACAAAAGGTCCAACTAATTAAGTGCTAATTATTTACTTCTCTGTGTAGTAGTGTGTCCTTGCGCAAAGCTGAGGACCACAGGGAAAGAAGTCCTGCTGACAACGGTCACAGGCCAGCAACTCTTCTAAGCTCAGTAATACCTATTGGGGAATTAGTAGCTGCTCCTGGTAATGCATTCATCTAACACCCAAGATTGTAAGAGGATCCAGATCACAGATCAAGCCATGGCAAGGGGTGGTCGAGGAATGCAAGTTATTGGAGAGGGAGCAGCAAATGTGATAGGGGATTTTCAACAGGCCCCTCTGCTGGTACCACTTATTGCAATTGGATGCAGTGTTTTGAATAAGGAATCCCTTTAGTAACCCTCAAGCACTAAAGATGAGTCCCCTGCCCACATATTAGCCCAACTAAGCGCTTTAATTGGTGAGGGGTCAGGACGATCGTCCATGAGCTGTCCTGCCGTATCCTTAAATCAAGCGAAGGCTGGAAGGTGACTTCCAGGCCGCCCACTGGGTATCCTCTGTTCCGATTAAGTGCCCCCAGCCACTGAGCTTGCTGCAGGGGAGACCATTAAGTACGCTTGAGTTTGAAACTTTCCTCCTTGCTTTCAAATCTGTCTGTGGAGTTGCCTCTCCCTATTACTGACTTTCCTCCAGCACAATCTTCTGCTGTAGCTGTACTTCTTTAACACTGGCCTTTTGTACCTCCCAAATTATAAATGCTGCATCATTGGTGGCCTATAGTTGCTAATACCATAACCTCTGGAATATCCTCCCCAGACCTTTTAGTTCTTTCATCCCTTGAGACATACATTAGAACCTATATTTTAGACCCAAGCTTTGGTCGTGTAACATGATACCTCATGTTGTTCAGTATCATACTTTATTTTGCAATATTCTGTTTTTTTGCCATGGGATGTTTTACACTTTTAAAGTAATAATATATATGTAAAACTGCTTTTCTAAAATGGGATGATTTTTTTAGGTGACTGATCATGATGATGAAGTCGGTTCTCCTGCTGAAGAATTCAAGGCATTTGCAGGTGATACAGGCATGAATAGGAGTCAATCAGAATATTGTAATGTCGGGGCAAAGACTTTCCTCACCAACCATCCTGCCAGGAAGTTTGTATTTGACTTCATGCGTGTCCTTGTGATAGAAAATTTATGTCTTGCACCTGCTAGCAAACAGACTACTCTCATAGACCTGCTATTAGAGGTAGGTGTTGAGCAACCTGAAATAATACATGTGTAAATGATTTTTCTTGCTATTTGTCTGTTTTCTTGACCATTTTTTTAGATACTCATCTTTAATCTGTAATTCATCTCCATAAATAGATGGTGAGATAACTTGATAAAAGTACACATACTATTATTTTACCAACTAACTTCTGGTTAACAAAATTGAGGTTCATTGAAAGGAAGGATCAGTGTCACGTTGATTTTAAAAAATTGGCTTAAGTACAGAAGACAGTGAGTCATGATAACTTGTTGATTTTCACTTTGGAGGATGGTAAATTATCATTTTCCCTAGGGTTCAGTGCTCAGATCACTGCTTTTCTTTTTCATGACCAGGCTATTAAAATACTGAGGAGAACTTAACAATTTGCCAGTGACACCTTGCAGCCTACAAAGATTGCATTGGATGCTTTCAGTTTCTCCGTCTCCATCACAGTTGTTCTGATAGTGCAGTTGTCCATGTCAGCACTTTTGATATGCCTTTTTTACTCCTCAGCCAAGGACTCTCCTACCTAAAATGTGGTTGACAGGGTCCTCGGTCACATCTAATCCATTTCCCACACTCCTGCTCTGTTGCCCAGAGCAAGCATAAGGTTTCCCTGTCCTCCCCTTTTACCCGATTGTCTTCCATATTTAATGTGTTACCAAATGCAATGGATACCATCCCACCCCTCCCCTCCTGTCCTCAGCATTCAAAGGGGAATGTTCCTGCTGCAACAGCGTGGTTTAGTACTCAATCACTTCAGCACTTGGTTCACTTCCAGTGACACCTTTCCGTGAAAGCACAAGCGATGTCATTTTCTGCCCTTTTAGTTATTCTTTTCTCACCGTCCAAAGCTCAAACACTTTCCAGGTGAAGCATGGGTTTTCAGATATTTCTTCCAATTTGCTAAACTGCATTTGCTGCTCACAGTGTGGCCTTCTCCACATTGGGGATACCAAACACTAATTGGATGACTGCTTTAATTGTTGAATAATTCACTCAGTCCACAAGCATGCTTAGTTTCTAGTTACTTACAGTTTAATTCCCCAGCTTTCTCCTCTGACTATTAGCTAAGTCAAATTCCTGAAACTCCCTCCTGAACGGCATTGTGTGTCTACCTAGATCTAATGGAATGCAGTGGTTTAAAAAAATAGCTCACCACAACATTGTCAAATGCAACAAGGAATTGGCAATAAAATGTTGGCCTAGCCAATGAAATCCTCGTCCCATGAATAAATAATGAAAAAATGGCTGTTCCCTTGATACCAAACCGAGTCAGAGAAGCACATTTCTTTCTATTAAGCACATCCACAGACTTCTGGACTCAAAACTGAGTTCAGCTATTTTGAGGCTGTAGTTTCTTTCTCTCTCTCACTGCACTGCCCCATGCTGTTTTTCCTCTCCCTTCCCAACCATCGCCACCACCAAAATTGCTGGCTTTTTTTAACCTTGTTGTTGCTTTAGGGTAGCAGCTGCTTGCTCTTCTGCCATTTGAACCTTTTTTTTTTTCAGTCCCATCTTTAAACTCTTGTTACATTGCCACTCTCTTTGGTTATTTCCTGCAATTTCCTTGTAATTGCATGGAGCGCACACTGAAACTCACCAGTAAACAAGGTACAATTAACTTGGTGTTGCGTAATGTGACATTGCCGCAGGGTAAAGGCATCCCTAGGTAACTGTGACAGTAACATGATTGAGTTTTGCATTGGTTCCAGGACTACTGCATTAAGTGTAAATAAAGACAGCTATATAGGGCATGGAAGCTAAGCTGGTTGAAACTGATTGGACATATAAGACTAAAGGATCGGTCAATAGATGTTATGGGGATATTTCAGAATACTCAGAATAAATCTACTTCTACAATAATGAAAAGTTCTAAAGGAAGGACTCACCATCTGTGGTGAATTAAAGAAGTTAAGAAAAGCATCAAAATTAAAGAAAAAGTCTCTTACTGAAAAGACAAGCAGTAGGTCAGATTGATGAAATTTAAAGAATGCTAAAGAATGACTTAAAGGTTTATCAGAATAAAGATATTAAAAGTATGAGAGGAAACTAGCTAAAAACATAACGGATGGCAAGAGTTTCTGTTAAATGTGTTAATCCTCTGAAGAGTGAGAATGAGAAGTTAATAGACAATAAGGAAATGGTGGATGTAATAAAAACTACTTTGCTTTTGTCTTCACTATAGAAGATATTAAAAAAAATCCAGTAAAATCTGTAAATCAGGAGATGGGAGGGAGAAAGGAATTTAGTGAATTGATTTCTGAGGAAGGGTCACTGGACCCGAAACGTTAACTCTGATTTTTCTCCACAGATCCTGCCAGAGCTGCTGAGCTTTTCCAGCAATTTTTATTTTTGTAAGGAATTTGGTGAAATGACAATCAACAGGGAAGAGGTACTAAACAAATCAATGGGGCTGTGGGCTGATGTATCTCTAGGTCCAGACAGACTTCATTTAGGGTCTAAAAAGAGTTGGTCAGTGCCGTAGTAGATGTGCTGGTGTCAATTTTCCAGAACTTCTCTCTATTCAGAAAAGGTTTCATCAGACTAGAAAATAGCAAATATAACTCCTGTATTCAAAAAGAGAGGGAGACAGAAAGGAAGCCATAGGCCAGTTAGCTTGCCATTTGTCATGGGAAAGCTGTTAAAATTAACCATTAAAGTACACCTATGCACTTGAATACGTTCAAGGTAATTGTGAAGGAAAAGTTGTATTTAACCAATTTAGACTTGTTTGAATGAGTTAATGTGCTGTAGATAAAGGGTAGCCAGTAAATGTACTGTAGTTTGGTGCCCAGAAAGTGTTTGATAAGGTGTTACATCAATGAAAATTTCTAATGGGAGGACCCACCATCTGTGGTTAACCAAACAAGTTAAGGAAGACATCAAATTTAAAGAAAAAGTCTATTATGGAAAATAAAAGATCAGTGTCAGGAGTAACATTAGCCTAGTTAGAAGATTGGCAGTAAACCGGATATACACCAAATGCACTGATTGGCAGGATGTAATGAGTGGATTCCTGAAGGAATCCAATGTTGGTGCCTCTATTTATTACAATTTCTATCAATGCCTTAGATGAGAGGAACAAAGGTATAGTAGCTAAATTTGCAGATGACCAGAAGATAGGAAAGTATGCTGTGAAGAACACTAGAACATAAGAGTAAACATCATCCTGGTGTCTACAGTGTCAATTGCCTTCAGTGTTTAGTCAGTAATCTACAGCACAAAGAGTCCCTTTGGCCTATCATGTCCTCCGCAGTGCAGCCACCTAACTATTCTAATCCCATTTTCCAGCACTTGACCCATAGCGTTGTGTGCCTTGTTATCTCAAGGGCACATCTGACTTTTTAAAATATTTAAATGAGGGGCATTTAAGCAGCTATTAGATAGGCATATGGATGATAGTATAAGGTAGGGGTGGAGGTTAGATAGACCTTAGGATTAGGGTAAAAGGTTGGCACAACATCATGGGCCGAAGGGCCTGTACTATGCTGTACTGTTCTATGTTCTATTTGTGAAGCTTTCTGCCTCTATCACCCTTATAGGCAATGAGTTCTTATATACCTCAATTAGATCTCTTCTCATTCTTCTAAATTCTAGGAAGTATGGGACCTAATCTCCTCAATATCTCTTCATTTTTAAAAAACCCTCACGTGGGAATGCATATCTTCTAAACTGCCTCCAGTACAACTATAACTGTCTCCAAGTAAGGGAACCAAAATTGTAAACAATGCTCCAGGTGCAGTCTCACTATTGCCTCATACAGTTGCAACAACATTTCCCTGTTTTTATATTCTATTCCTTTCGCAATAAATGCCAAAATCCTATTTACCTGCTGTTTAATACTTGAACAGCAAATGACTGTGGAAATCCAAGTTATCGAGGTGTTTAGTTGCTGAAATGCATGAGTCACAAAATGTTGGTATGCAGGTACACCACTCAATCCAGAAGGCTTCTGGGACAATATCCTTTATTATAATTGGAATCGAACATGAAAGCCTGGATGTTATACTTTAGTTAGACAAGGCTTTAGTGAGACTACGTCTCAAATATTGTGTGCAGTTTTGGCCGCCTTATTTAAGAAAGGGTGTAAGTGCATTCAAAGCAATTTAGGGGTGGTTTACTAGGCTGATACTTGTGAAGTAAAGAAATCAAAGGTTTTCACGTGTAAATGGGAAAGTGGGATTCAAAACACAAACTGATCACCCAGTTCATGTTGAATGGCTCAAGGGGCTGGATGGTGTACTTTTGTTCCTTTTTTGTATGTTTGTATATTGTTTAATGTCTCTTATCTTCTGCCCTATCAGACCTTTCCTGCTTTTTTCCTTCACTTGCCCCATCTCACCTCTTTTAAAGTTATTACATCTCTCAATTTTAGCTCTTCTGATCAACAGTTACAACCTGAAATATTAATTCTGTTCATTTCTCCACAGATACTGAGTATTGCCAGTACTTTTGTTTTCATCCATTACACACATTCTCTTATTTAAGATTAGACAGTGACTTTATTTTCAACCACAACTGTGGAGCGTGTTTTATTGAAAATAAGGTTTAACAGGATTATAACATCAAGCAAAGTAATAGAGATTCTTAATGTTGGCAACTTTTTTTCGCTGTTTTCAAGGCCTCACCTGACAGATCAACACGTGCTCAGCAAAAAGAATTCCAAACTTGCATCTTAGACAGTGTGATGGATCATTTATTGGCAGCAGATGTCTTGTTAGGTATGTCTGAGTACCTTCAGGTAGTGCTGTGGAAGAAGTGTCAAAATTTGTAAATATTCCATTAAAGTGTTCATAGGGACTGCTGAATGAATGCTTTCAGATTATTTTATATGATTTTATTGGCTTTATTAGTTATTAAGTAGAGTTACTTGCATTTGACATGTGTACTATTTACGTTTTTGCAAAATGAGGCCTGCAATTTTGAACACGTAAAACAATACAAACCCTACTGTGAATGTCGGTAATAATAGTTCAAGAGCAGTGCTCACCAACACATGGGAATCAGAGATTTAGTGATTACAGCTATTAACGCTGAAAATACTACATCTAAAAATAATTAGATTACCATTGTACCTAATATGCATAATCTGATACTTAATTGCTGGCACTCTGTTTTTGACAATTTAGAATAACTGCTCACAAGTTTAAGCAAAGTTTCTAGCCAAATATTCTCTATGCCTAAACCCACAAACACTAGCAGCTAGAAGGACCAGGACAGCACTATGTAGGAACATGTAGCTTCCCTCAGCGACCATTTGCCGTAATGACTTAGAAATGTATTACTGTTCCTTCAGTTTGACTATGTCAGAGTTTTCATGGATCGCGCTCACGTGATTGAACAGTGAGCAGTTCAAAAAGGCAGTTCACCACCATCTTCTCAAGGGCAACCAGGGATGGGCAATCAATACTGGCCCTGTCAGAAATGCCCACATCCATGAATAGGTACTAAAAAATCTTTAACAGGTCAACACACAGAAGCTTAGATTTTGCAGGCTATTCCAGGTTATCTTAAAAACTGACAGTTTAAATGATGCTGGTAGTTCTTTATTATAATGATTTTAATTCATTATACGATATGGTGATTTCTACTATGAGCTGATAACATTCAGTCACAAATTTTGTTTTTTAATCTCGTGAATTGGTTGTATGTACATTTTTTGTCTCTTACAAATTTAGGACATTTCCTGAAATGATTATTATAGTTCTGATACTAGAAATTCAAATTGTTGTGTGATCATTATGATATACAGAGTATCAGACTGCCATTTTTAATGAGGTTAGTATAAAGTGCTGCTCCTTTGATTAAAAATGAACTGAAAAATGCCATAATAAGTTCCCTGATACTTTAAATTAAAATGTCACATGAACACCTAATTAGGGCAAATTTTAACATGGCAATAGATGAACTTAGTTTTCTAAAGTTATTGAGAGGAATTATAATTTCAAAGCCTCACTTCAGTTTACACCCTTTATAAAATAAAAAATTGCGTCTCTCAAGATGAAGTAAATAACTAAAAGCATAAATTCTCAATAGAAATAATATTGAACTAATCCATTTTAAAAGTTATGCAATTGCCATACTCATTTTGTAGTTTAACAGACCATTTTTATGCTTTGTAAATGCTTCAGGTGAAGATGCAACACTACCAATTACCAGTGGAGGAAGTTACAATACATTAGTGAACAATGTATTTTACTTCACACAACGACTAGTGGATAAGCTTTGGCAAGGCATGTTCAGCAAGGAATCCAAACTTGTGGTTGACTTTATTGTTCAGTTGATAGGACAGGTAAGTTGATATCATGAATGAATCTCAAGAAAAATGAAACTGACTTTTCTTTATATTAAAATGGCAATTTATAATTATATATAAAAGTAGAATGCTGGACATTCATTGGATGTTGGTCAGCATGAAGTAATAGTCCAGAATTTGCTGTAAGTTAAAGGAACAAACCATTAACCTGTGTTTTTAAAGGATAATCAATCCAATATATTGAAGCAAGAAAGTGACACGCACAAAGTTGCAAATTTCCACAAAATGTATGCGTGATTTGTGTTCTTTTGATGTCGACCTCCCAAAAACTGAATTTTCAACTGGTGTCAAGAAATGTAATATTTGTGTTTCAATAAGGGTTAATTAATTGTACAAACTTGGGGTACTAGTAAACAGCAAGGTGTGAATTTTATGGAGTGAAATAAAGCTGTCACTAAAAGTGTGAACTTGGATCTGTTTAAATACAGTTACCTTTAGTACATAACATTGATCACAGAGGATGGCTGCATCAAAATTTCAGTGTACAATTGCACAACAGTTTCCTGAAAATGTGCCTTATTAGTGAAAGAATTAAGTTACAATATGGACCTGGATTACTTCTTTACCAAAGAGCACACAAGGTTTGGCTTTGACACTTTTGTCGCCGTAAAGAAGGAGGATAAGAGCAAAGTCATTTTTTTTCAGAATTGAGGACTGATGATTTCAACATAGATAAAGTTTTGAACAAATTATTAACTTTGGATAAAATTTATCAAAAAGCTTTAACAGTTCAAGAGGAGTAGTCAGATTTTGACAAATTTAGGAGGACGTTGAAGAGTACGCAATCAAATTAAGTCGATTGTATGCAAGGCTGCAGAATGTTTATTTGAAAATACCTCAAGCTATACTGGTATCTGTGATATTGAATTATGCCAAAGTATCAGGGTTGAACAGACTTCTAGCGTTGTCAGCAGTTAGATTTGCAGATATACATACATTGCTAGAACAAATGAGAGAAGCCTTAAAAATATGTCCCTAAAAAAGCATTTCTTCTCGGCAGTGTTCATAGCACTAAGGAATAATTGGCACTAAAACAGCAAATGGCCCAGTGCTGACGAATTGGTGAGACTGTCTAGATTAGGGTTTCTGACAAGAGTGTGAAAGGAAAACCATAACTAAAAGAAATTAAGACAAATATTATTGACAATCTTGAGAAGTGAAGAGGATTTGGGATTTACTTTAAAAGATATGACCTGCAGAAATATTCAGGTTGTCAGTCAGTGTTTCAAGTATAATTCAAAGTGCTGGTCTTGTTGGTTTAGAGGTGTGACTTTTGCTTAAGGACATGCATTGAAATAATATGCAAGAGGTCCCAAGTTCAAATCTGGAATGAATACCCATTTAAATGCTTATGAAGAGTATTGTAAGGCTGAAAATACAACTGAAAGCCAACAGGAATACCAAAGGTTTAGGGACGAGGTGAAAAACCAAGTAAGAGAAGCAAAGAAGAATTATGATAAAAAAGCAGGTAACATCAAGGGAAATCCCAGAGTCTTCTACAGGCGTATAAACAATAGAAGAATTTGAGGATGAGTAGGGCCAGTCAGAGACCAAAAACGAATTTACACATGGAAGGAAGGGGCATGGCTAAGGTGTTAAATCAACGTTTTGCATCCCTCTTTATAAAAGAGGAAGTAGCTGCCTGGGCAATGGTGACAGAAGAAGAAACTATCACTAAAAGCCTTCCTGCTCCTGTGATGCTGCTTGGCCTGCTGTGTTCATCCAGCTCTACACCTTTTTATCACTAAAAGCATTCAGAATTAAAAAGGTAGAAGTCTTGGATAGATTGTTGGCATTTAAAGTCATCAAGGCACTGGGACTAGATGAGGTGCATTCAAGGATTCTGAAACAAGTGAGGGTTGAAGTTGTGGGGGAACTAGTCATAATCTTTGTCTGGATTTGGGGGAGGTGTCAATAGATGCAAAATTGTAAACCGCATTTACAGACCAGTTAGTTTAACTTTGGTAGAAAAACTTCGAGAAGTAGTTATTTGGAATAGAATGAATAGTCACATGGATAAGGGTGGGTTGATTAGGAAGAATTGGCGTGGATTTTTAAAGGGAAAATTGTGTTTAACGAACTTGCTGGAGTGTTTTGAAGAGGTAAGAGAAATGCAGAGTAGTATGGGATAGTGCACTTTAGTCAGAAGAAGATTGAAAGACAAGACAATTTAAAATAAGGGGTACAATTCTCACTGGGTAACAGGAGCAGAGGAACCTGGGTGTATACGTGCACAGACCATTGCAGATGGCTGGACAGGTGCAGAGAGCAGTTAAAGCCAAGAACATACTATGCTTTAATATTAATAGGTACATAGAGTGCACGAGCAAGGAAGTGATGTTAAATTTATGCAAGAGACTTGATAGACCTGAGTAGGAGTATTGCGTCCAATGATGGGCGCCACACTGAGGTAAAGATGCGAATGCATTGGAGAGACTACAGCAGTGATTTACAAGAATGGCTCCAGGTATGAGGAATGTCAGTTGTGAGGATAGTTTGAAGAAGTTCAGATTATTTGTCTTGGAGTAAAAAAAAAAGGCTGAGATGTTTAAAAATCATGAGCACCCTGGACAGAACAGATAGGTATAAGCCGATCCTTCATAAAAGAAAGAGAGTTACAAGTTAGCCAGGGAGGACCGAAAGAGAGAGCGAAGAGGAGCCAGGAGGGGACATGAGAAGTCTTTAGCAGGTAGGATCAAGGAAAACCCTAAAGCTTTCTATAGGTATGTCAGGAATAAAAGAATGACTAGAGTAAGATTAAGGCCAGTCAAGGACAGTAGTGGGAAGTTGTGCGTGGAGTCTGAAGAGATAGGAGAGGCGCTGAATGAATATTTTTCGTCAGTATTCACACAGGAAAAAGACAATGTTGTCGAGGAGAATACTGAGATACAGGCGATTACACTAGACGGAATTGAGGTTCATAAGGAGGAGGTGTTAGCAATTCTGGAAGGTGTGAAAATAGATAAGTCCCCTGGGCTGGATGGGATTTATCCTAGGATTCTCTGGGACGCTAGAGAGGAGATTGCAGAGCCTTTGGCTTTGATCTTTATGTCGTCATTGTCTACAGGAATAGTGCCAGAAGACTGGAGACTAGCAAATGTTGTCCCCTTGTTCAAGAAGGGGAGTAGAGACAACCCTGGTAATTATAGACCAGTGAGCCTTACTTTGGTTGTGGGTAAAGTATTGGAAAGGATTATAAGAGAGAGGATTTATAATCTAGAGAGGAATAATTTGATTAGGGATAGTCAACAAGGTTTTGTGAAGGGTAGGTCGTGCCTCACAAACCTTATTGAGTTCTTTGAGAAGATGACCAAACAGGTGGATGAGGGTAAAGCTGTTGATGTGGTGTATATGGATTTCAGTAAAGCGTTTGATAAGGTTCCCCATGGTAGGCTATTGCAGAAAATACGGAGGCTTGGGATTGAGGGTAATTTAGCGGTTTGGATCAGAAATTGGCTAGCTGTAAGAAGACAGAGGGTGGTGGTTGATGGGAAATGTTCATCCTGGAGTTCAGTTACTAGTGGTGTACCTCAAGGATCTGTTTTGGGGCCACTGCTGTTTGTCATTTTTATAAATGACCTGGATGAGGGCGTAGAAGGATGGGTTAGTAAATTTGCGGATGACACCAAAGTCGGTGGAGTTGTGGATAGTGCGGAAGGATGTTGCAGGTTACAGAGGGACATAGATAAGCTGCAGAGCTGGGCTGAGAGGTGGCAAATGGAGTTTAATGCGGAAAAGTGTGAGGTGATTCACTTTGGAAGGAGTAACAGGAATACAGAGTACTGGGCTAATGGTAAGATTCTTGGTAGTGTGGATGAGCAGAAAGATCTCGGTGTCGATGTGCATAGATCACTGAAAGTTGCCATCCAGGTTGATAGCGTTGTTAAGAAGGCGTACAGTATGTTAGGTTTTATTGGTAGAGGGATTGAGTTTCGGAGCCATGAGGTCATGTTGCAGCTGTACAAAACTCTGGTGCGGCCGCACTTGGAGTATTGCGTACAGTTCTGGTCACCGCATTATAGGAAGGATGTGGAAGCATTGGAAAGGGTGCAGAGGAGATTTACCAGGATGTTGCCTGGTATGGAGGGAAGGTCTTATGAGGAAAGGCTGAGGGACTTGGGGCTGTTTTCGTTAGAGAGAAGAAGGTTAAGAGGTGACTTAATAGAGACATACAAGAATGATCAGAGGATTAGATAGGGTGGACAGTGGGAGCCTTTTTCCTCAGATGGTGATGGCTAGCACGAGGGGACATAGCTTTAAATTGAGGGGTGATAGATATAGGACAGATGTCAGAGGTAGGTTCTTTACTCAGAGAGTAGTAAGGGCGTGGAATGCCCTGCCTGCAAAAGTAGTAGACTCGCCAACTTTAAAGGCATTTAAATGGTCATTGGATAAACATATGGATGATAATGGAATAGTTAAGGTTAGATGGGCTTCAGATTGGTTTCACAGGTCGGCGCAACATCGAGGGCCGAAGGGCCTGTACTGCGCTGTTATGTTCTATGTTCTAAAAAGAATGAAAGGCGTAGATTTAACATGCTGTGCAAACTAAGCAAGGGCGATGAGACAAAAAAACTTGTTCGCATATTGAATAGTTAGGGTGGAAGCAGGTTGAATTGAGACATTAAGAGGATGTTGGACACTTATTTGGATAGAAATATTGGGTGGGGATATGGGAAAAGGCAGGAGATTGATACTAGGTAGTAGAACAGGTGGAAGCATGATGATTAATTCTATGATACCATTGCACCATGAACTGTCCCGAATAATATGATATTCAAACCTAAACATAAATTAGAAGAAGATGGAGGTACAGGTCAAAGAGAGGACAATGTATTGGTCACAACAGGTTTCAGCCCAGAAATGAATGTTTTGGTGACAAAGTTTTTCAGTGTACAATGGACGCACATGTACAACATGTGGAATTGACTGGCTACTTAAGGAGTTTGAAAAATTTCAAATTTGAGGATGATAAC